GCTGTAGACCGCCGGCCACGGCGCAACTCGAGATCGTGGCACTGGTTTCCACCAGGGACACGGACCGGGCGGCGCCGCCGGTATCGCATGATAGCGACTTGGGGCTCACCCTGCGGGAATGGAGGGACCGGCAGCAGGCAGATGGGGCTTTGGCACTGCTTGACCGGCTGGTGGAGACGGCACGCGCTGATGATCTCCCCACGTCGGGGAAGTTTTTCCTCATGTAGGAAGGCTTGTTGATGCGCTGGGATGCGATTGTGAACCGTAAAGTCCTGGTGGTGCCCTCTTCCCTGCGGAGTCAGCTATTCTCCGATGTTCATGCCCGACAGTTACTCTATCTAGCATGCTTCTATACTTCATGTAACGCGGTTTGCACTTCACTTTAGTTCAGTAATGCATCTTCTGTGCATGAAGATGTTCACGTATCCAAGTGGGATGTGCGAAGCGGGATTGCGTACACACGGATTTCTGAAGATAAATGTACAAAGATTGCCCATATAGCCTTAACGAACTGTTGGGGCAAGTGATGTCAGCGAGTATAGCACCTATGAGGTAAAGGTGCAAAGACAAAGATCCCCCGTATAGCCTTAACATACTGTAGGGACATTGGCTGTTAGCATCTATGAAGGCCGGCACAGGCACACGAGGGGGTGAGTGGCCAACACCACGCCCGGCCGCCTTTGTCTCCCTATTGGCGATGTTTGCACATCGCACCAGGTACTAATTTGAGGCTGAGTCGACCTAGGGAAGGCCCAGGACCGGTTCAGATAATCGTCACTGGTGTTGGCTATGAGCTGGAATCGAACCCGGGTCGCCAGGTTCGTAGAGCAGCGCGCTAACCGCTACACACAGCCCCATCTGAGCTTACTGTGGCCCAAATGTCCAGAGCGGTTCAGATGTCTTGTGACTCACATTTATTTCACTAAAACGTAATATATATTTTTAAGTAAGGTTTTTTAAAAAACATAAATGAATATGCAAAGGGAGAGAAAAAAAATGTTCGGGGTCGATTAATGGGGGGGGGGGGGGGGGGGTCACCGGACATTCCAACTCCATACACACGGGAGAGAGGAACGTAGCTGGGGCTAGGCTAACTTTGAGATCCTTCAACAAGCTTCACCTGAGGATGGCAGCTTGCGTTGTGGCCGAAACGTCGTGAGAATTATTTTATTATGTTTTATTTTTATTATTTTATTACTTCCCTTCTACGTGACTTTACCGAAAGAACCAAGAAGATGAAGGTAAGGTAGTTTACCCTTTTTACCGGGTAAAAGGGGTAAAGGATAAAGGTGTCAACATGCCAAGGGGTAAGGTAAAGGGTTGGGTAAAGGTAGCGCGAAGTATTACCCGGTAAACACCTTGTCTACCGCTCGCTAAAAGCTCCGTGGCGCAGTCCGTGGCCTCCATTTAAAATTGGAATCATTGAGAGTATATTCTATATGAATAAAGCGCTCTACCTAGCATTTACCTGTTACAAACCTTTTTCATGTGTAGTAGTACCCCAGTAATTACCCTGCAATCAGGTCATTTGTATGGGGTATAGGTAAAAGGTAGGGTAAAATAGGCTAATTTATTTTGACCTTTAAACTTTTACCTTACCTTGATGAAGGGTAAAAGGTAACGGTAGAGTGATTGTATTGTGGGAAGGTAACAGATAGGGTAAAGGTAGGCTCGTCGTTTTTACCTTTTACCTTGCCTTGCCGAGGCCGAGCTGGGGCTGGATACTGTCGCCGCTGCTGCTGCTGCCGTTTCTGATGCGGATGGTGATCCTGATGATGCTAGGCGAGGTATGATGATGGTGGTGGTGGTGTTGTGGTGAGCCTGGGAGTTGTAAATGACAAGTGCACATCGAACCCTGTTGTGGTAGTCCCCCCGATGGCTCGAGGAAGAGAGAGACCCCCTTTTTTTGATGGACTAAGTTGTACTCCTGATCGAATCTGAAGAGCATCATGAAACTATATGATGCATATTTCATGCGGCATTATTGATAAATGTGCTAATACTAGGGTTCGAGAAATCATTTTGCGTTTGATACCCAGAAAACATGGCATCATATTGCACGTGTTACATATTTAGAATCGGTATTGTGTCTTTGAGACCTTGGCGAGGTTCCTGGATTCCTTGGACAGTGGACATGTGGTTTTTAAACGTATGCTTCAAATTCCTGCGGTCTTATCAAATTAAACGACGTTCACGGTTGTATAGGTGGTACTATTGTTGCCAAAGCTTTTCGGTATTAAAATGACAATATATATCCTGAGATTGAGGGGTGCTTAATCCAAATTATACGTTTTAATAACTCAATATTTCAAGTTACTTTTTGTAAGAGAAAGTGAACGAAGCCGCTGCTCTCAGTTACTCTATACACACAGGAAGTACAGTATTTACGTGTGTGTTTAGTTTGTTGTCCTTCCCCCGCACCTCCGATTAGAAGGGTTGGCTACGTACGGCGCGAAAGAAGTTCAACATTTCTGCAGTACTCTTTGGTTCTTTCGGTAAAGTCACGTAGAAATAAATTAAATAATAAGAGAATACGACGTTTGGATTGCAACACAAGCAACCATCATCACGTACAAATGAATGAGAAAACAAACATAGTGAACTTGGAAATATAATGCAATACAACACAGAGAGTCGGCCAACACCACAGTCAACGCCCCACCTGGTTGATTACGTTATTCCAAAGATTGCTAAATTTGAGAGAGAGACAAAACATAGACACGGAGACACAGAGACAGACATACAAGCAGAGAGAGACTCACACAGAGACAAACATAGAGAGACACACACATAGGGGGCCGTCCATAAATGACGTCACGCGACTTTTGACGATTTTTGACCCCCCCCCCCTCGTCACACGGCGTCACGAAAACTCAGACCCCCCCTCAAATATGACGTCACAAAGCTCTGCCCCCCCCCCCAATAAAACGTGCTTCAAATCGCTTTAAACTATTGTCATTGTAGTGCGTTATTAATGTGATGCTGCACTCTGATGTTGTAGGAGAAAACATGTATTAGAAAGTCTATTTAATTAGGTAGAACGTGTTGTCTATATTTATTTAAAGTTGCGCATTTTGATGTGACGTCACATTTCTCAACCTCCCCCCTCGTCACACATCGTCACACATCGTCACAAATGCCTTTTACCCACACTTTATCCCACCGCACGTGACCTGCCAATCAAACTTGCTATGATTGTACGCCCATTTATACTGATGGTTGGACAGAGGTGGGAGGGATTTTCGAAACTTGCCATTGTTTAAATTGCCACTGCAGGAGATCGAACCTGTGATGTCTGAATTGTAAGTCCCGAGTGTGTCAAACATTGCACCGTGGCAGCATCAGACATAAAACATATATATCAACCACTTGTGTATGATGACCTTAAGAATCGATATTCACGAATTGATGCACTGTTTCACTCACAGTCTTTAATTGCCTGGAACTTAGTCTTCTGGAATCATGTTCTAAGCAATAGTGTGGCTCCTTCTTCCTGTAGTGTTTGAGCTGCGTAAGAGTGAAGGTCTCTTGCTAAGTTGAGGGGTGAGGCAGCTCAGAAGGCATGCTTGTCCCTAACGTGGAACAGGTTGTCGGCCCGATGCCAAGATCTGTGACATTGTGCACGAGCCTGAGGATGCTCTGCTGCACAGCAGAAAGCCTGGATTACTGAGAGGGTTTACATCAGGGCGTGCGTGCTTTAACAGCACCTCCGCTTATAACGGTTGGCTACGTACGGTGCGAAAGAAGTTCAACGTACCTTAAATGTGGCTGGTGAGGACCATGTGATGATGATGATGATGCAATTGAAAAGTGCAGACAAGTATAAGTGTCTTTTTAATTATCTTCCTGTTACCTACAACACACCACTCTGGCTCACTGATGAGTGCTCAGAGTACAAATCCAAATCAACAGTCAAGGTATAATTATGTATTGAATCATTGATTAATTTTGACTGTTGAGCTTCACAGTACATGCACAGCTTACGGAGGCCATCATCCAGCAGCGGATTGATCATGGCTGCTGCTGATCATGGTAATCCATCGGATGTGGTGACATTGAAAGGAGATGGTAAATCAGAAGTTTTTTTCCCCCTTACACTGTGGTCCTTATTTCCCTTACAATTTGTTTCAAACTCAAGACCATAATCTGACGTGCCAGATTTGTTTTTTTTTTCTTCTAAAAAGTTGTTTGGCGATGCTGCCGCGTTTTGGCAGCAGTGCACAAAGCATAGTGAACAACAACAAAAACTCAACCCATTCGTCGATAACATTTATTGGGAGCAGTGTTATTTACGAGTGTGAGCTATATATATAATGATTGGCTGCTACAGTTAACGAATATAATCTTGAAAATGGCCTTTAAAATGCAATGTTAACTTTGTGTTCCTTTTAATATTTCATGAGACAACTTGTTTGGAATACCGAAAACAAATCACCCTCCGAAACAAATATCTACACAAACCTGTGACGGTTCCAAATGCAGCTTTCATGAAATATGTTGCCACTGTGCAGCTGGCGAGACAGGAGGTTCGCCAATGAGCCACACGCACAGTCAGTTGTCTGACTCCCACAAAATGCCATCATCGTCCAGCCATGGTCCATCCACTGCTCGATGAGGGCCTCCCCAAAGCTCGTGACCCAGAACCTGCACACGAGCTAATTTCATTGGTCCGTCTCCTCGTTCGGCGCACTCTTACACGCACGCGTTCACTCCAATTAATTATCCGTGGGGAAGAATGTCACGGATAATAGGGGGATCGTTCTGCAAAGCAGGATGAGACAATCCACGGACAGTCTCGAATAATCGCAAGAATCGGGCCACGGATAATGAGAGATTTTGCAAATGGCACATCTTCTTGTGGATAATTGGAGTTGCGGGTAGCAGTTTCGTGCGTGATGGAAGTTGCTGGATATTTTCAGTCACAAGGCAACGTTAATTGTAATGGCCGTCGAGTTTTAACGTCCAAGCTTTACAACTCTTACTCAAGATAAGACATTAACTCAGTGTTATATATAACCATTTTTATTATTGTAATTTACAAAAAGCTAGTGCTACAGGCAGTGCATTTAATATATTTTTAAAAGAGTTAATACAATGAAAGTGTATTGTTTTAAGTACTCTTTAATTTTTACGACACCGTTTATTGCAAAGGTTTTTGCAAATCTAAGGCGCAATGTCAAAATTATACTGTTGGTATTTTTTCTTGCGGAAAAGTGCATTTAGGCGTTGCAAAATAACTACATACGTGCTGTGTTATTGGTTATAAAATGCGAAATGCAATGTATGGCATAACTGCAGCATTAGCTCCAGATACCGATGGAGTTGGCAACATAACACATCAGACGTGAAGGTCAAACGAGAGCAGACGATACAGCCCCCTCGGCCAGAGTTATGATCACAACCACCCCATTCAGGAACGGTTCATTCTGTGTATTAAAACTTGTTAGCGACTGCGGAGCGCGCCATTTTCTCGAAGGCGTGTTGTTCAGCCGTTGGTGCGGAGGCATCGTGGCAGACACGGTGAAACTAAGACGGTAGTTTTTCTACACGAAGCGCATTGCAAATCTATACTGGTAGTAGTGTGCCCTTTGTTTAATGCCAAATAATGTTCCTAAAACTCACGGCAGTTTTGTGGCATGTTTCATTCGGTCTTTAAATGCTGAAAACCTACAGTTCGATGTTCTATTCTAAACAAAAGTGTGAAATAATGGTGAAACGTGTGTACACCAGATATATATAGTATGGATCATAGGCATTTGAATTCACAAAAAGGCTTAAATTTCGGAATATTTATGATGTCGATACATTGTATTCCTACACGTAATACTATTCTTGATTAAAATTATTTGTATCGATGTCTCATACCAATATTTTCCCCCACATCAAGTGACTGCCATGGCCTCGGTGAAATTACTTCACTCCAAATCCGATTTGAAAAGAGGTGAGAATCGAGTTCGTGAACTGAGTTCAACGCTTGCTCTGTGTGGAATCATTCTTGGTCACAGACACGGAGTGACCTTTGTGTCAACATTATCCACGCTAATTTAGCATGAGAACTTAACAACCGCTTACAATATAGCTTTCTAAGGATACCGAAAACAAGCGTGTAACTACATGCAGACTCATGTGGTTAACTGTTTTGACAATCACTGCAGTACATGTCACTGCCGTAGCTTATGCTGCTAACGAGAACGTTTCATCCAGCGGCATTATTATAGGTACGGTAAAAGCGGATGATATTTCTTCAAAAGCACAGTAACATTTAGCGCATATACAAACAATGTACACCCGAAGCTCCTTCAGACGGCTTCGCAGAAGGACATTCGAAAGCTCTCGACCAGATTCAAACGAGCTGGCTTCACGGCGACAACATCGTAACAATGTGTCTTCATTTGGGGTGAAAACGACCCCCTCGACACCGAGTAGAATCACGTGTGCAATAAAACCATCCTGCTTACATTCACGGCACATTAAGCACGACAACGTATCCCTCGTGTGTAAATAAAAAAAAGATTCCACAGCTCTGTCGGGCGGCAACCGAGTTTGAAAAGCGGCAGAGGAGGAGTTTCGGCGTGTTTTGTTTGTTGTACATCATTTTAAAACTTCCACCTTTTTCCCTTTGAGTCTGCTCTGTGGTGCCAGTTCAGCTTCATCACTGCAGAAGTTTGGGTACTTCCACCTTCATGAAAAAGACAAAGAGAGAGAGAAAAACAACGTTATTTGCTGTGTTTATGAACACCTGACATCAGAGGTGCATGCGGCATAATTTTTATTCTTATCAGCTTCAATATATATGGACGTATTGGCGGTACACCGGTGCAGCATAACACACCGGTCCTCATAAAACAGTCTACAATCTAAATTTGAATCGGCAAATCTGTTTATCAGTCTTTGATCGACCCTGTCGCCAAGTTTATTCAGTCTACTGAGACTTGCTAAAAAATGTCAATATTGGCTGTTGATTTGGGTCCTTAAATCGAGGAACTGTCCGACCAAGTCAAGGGCACGAGGAGTCAAATCTGCCTTTGGAACACGGATCAGCCGATCGTCATCAGACTGGGTGCTGCTCAATGGCAACAGACTGCGAAGCGTCGTGTTCACCTGCTCATATAAACCATGGGTGGGGAACCTTTTTTCTGCCAAGGGACATTTGTATTTTTACAACATCATTCGCAGGCCATACAAATGTATCAACTTAAAAATGAGCCTGTTATATTTGGTCAAACATTTAATGAACTCACCCCCTAATGTGATGGCTGGAACTGCTTCTCTTTGGTGAGGTGTGTGATGTTAGCTGGTATTGATAATGTTGCTACTCGCAACTGCTTTTCCAGGTTTGCTTCTAGATATAATTAATTTTGAGTACCGCCTGCAGTTGCCTCGGCAGAACCAGACCAAATGATTTTGCGAGCCTTATACGGCCCGCGGGCCAGACGTTTCCCACCCCTGATATAAACATTCGTCTTCCCACTGCTTCGACATCACGAGAACTGATTTTGACGAACCATCACCACCCCGCAAGATTTTCTGACCGGGGTTGCGAATCGCGGTAACATAAATAATTATTGCGAAAGATTTGCTTTTTTTTCATACAGCACACCACCGGTGTACCGCCAACACCTTCATTTGGAAAACAGGGCAGGAAAATTTTTATCTTGTAATATCCCATTTTTTTTCATGTCCATGTGTCCTCCAATTAGTGCACTTTATTTGCTGGCAATCTGTAATGGTTATTAACGAATGCATGTACATATACCGGTGGTTGATGATCAACGATTAAATGTTCAGCCTAGATAGATGTCCTGGATACTGTGTCCATGCAGCAGGCGTACAACATTTAAATGCATTCTAATGCATAGAAACATCCTTAAAGTTTACAGCGTGAAGAAACATTCCTGGAGAAGCACTCATTATGTTTTCGTATCAATTGGCATAACTTGGTATATCAATAGATACAGGTGCAGCCCTGCAAATGCTTTCTAAACTCCACCGCTGGTGGAATGATCTCCTCTGGAGAGTATTGTTATCTACTCTTCCACACTTTAACACGTAGCCTTTCACGACCAATATCCATAAGAAGGTTTTTTGGGGGTTAAATCGCGTATATATATAAATGTGTTGTTAAACCCGCCACCACCCGACACGGCCAATCATTAAGGTTTGTCACGTAAGCAAATCGTACCAATTCGTTACTACTTCACTACACCGGTGAATTGGAGAGTAAACCCACACGATTTACAATTCGAGTACAACGTTTCGCTGGTGATTAAAACGAGCTTCATCAGGCGTTTAGCCAGAATTTGGTCTTCGCACCTGATAGGCTCACAGCGATGACATCACCTTTACTCTATTTAAGACCGAAACAGGAAGACGTCTTCACAAGTCTGGCTAATCGCTTGATGAAGCTGGTTGTAATCACCAGCGAAACGTCGTACTCAAATTGTAAATGTTGTGGGTTTACTCTCCAACACACCGGTGTGCTGAAGGAGTGACTGATTGGCACGTTATTCCACACTTGCTGGATGTCTTTTAAGAGGAGAGAATGCCCACACTTTTACTCCACTACATGCGACCTGTTGATTCGCTAGTTGTGGTGAACCCATTTACACGGCTGGGTTCACAGAGGCAGGGGAGGGGGTGGAGGTGGAGGGGGGAGGGTGGAGAGGTGGATTTGTCAAAACTTTCCCCATTGTTTGAGCTACCGCACCTGGAGATTGAACCGATGACCTGTGCATTGTAAGCCCAGCGTGCTACCCACTAGACCATGGCAGCATTTATACCAGAGCAGAAGTAACGTACGTCCTTACACCACCTACAAGACGCATTGTTAAGTGTCAGGTGATTTTAATGGTGTTATATTTATACTGAATATCAATCTCTTGCACCTCAGCAAGTCCATCACCTGACATCACCCAATCTCACTGAAGTTCTCATCCAGTACGTTTCACTCGCTTGCGTCATTCTCAATATCTCCTGAAGAAGGCGAGTCAGCTGAAGCATTGCGATCTGCCTTTCCTCTTGAGCGATGGCAAAAAGCACCTGTATATTGTTTATGATTAATCTGGTTGTTCTTTTAATATAATTTGATGCTAAACTACTTTTCTTGACACCATGAACAAATACTGTACCAATATTGCGGTTAACAGATATTTGCAGCAATTTGAGTTAAATCAACAGGAATTTTTGTTGAATTGTATGAAGAATTATACATCTCTCATACAGGATGGTGTTGAAGTCCTATACATTGTAGTTATGCTTAACTGTGTAAATAATATTTATATTTTACGTTACTGGTCATCAAAGATTGCTAGCAAAGTACACCATTGTCAGTCATTGGTGCTGGATCAGACAGGTTTATATGTTTTTTTATGACTTCGGAATGTCTTGCGATATTTTCGCGATATGCTGCCACATATAAAAGATATGAAAAAATCAATTGCAACAGCTCCACTGTCATCTCCGTGACTTGTGGGGCGATTACATAAACACATCCCCTGTTTAACCCTGAGGTGCAACATCTGAGACCCAGAGGTTACTACCCAAATTGGGAAAACAATGCTGCAATAATAAGTTGATTTAAAAAAAAGTACTGAACACAGGCCCCAAGGGCCTATAGTAAGTGCTTAATTTCAGCCGGAACAGTTAGCAACTCAGGCCTAGGAACAATTGTGACACATCGCATCCATCTAGCTTTACACGTTATAAAACTATTCATGATACAAATTCATGATACAAATATAGAGTATAATAACATATAGGATTATTATATACAGCCTTAATTTGATCTCGAGTGGCAGTGACTTATGCTGATAATCCCTAATCCAAGCCAGCTTAACATTAAAATTCCTGCTATTAAATTCAAATTTCTGCCATTAAAGATTTCCCTGCTAGAACGAGCATTGGTGATCGTCTTCAATGATGGGCCTCAGCCAGTGGTCGAAATTCCACAATCGTAAAAAAAAGTGTTTTATTCAGGAAAGGCCCACGAAGCCCTAAATAGCTCTTTTTCAGAAGCGACCTGGCAACAGATGATAGATCAACGAAGTGGCTCATCATGTTGAAATATATAGTAGCAAGATACTCGAATATTTGGCTATATATAGAGTATAATATCTTTCTAAATATGGATGTTTCTAAATGTGGGGAGAACTTGGTAACTCCGAATATACGTATAAACACACACGAGTAGATGTAAAGTTCAGTGAAACGTGTTCATCTGCTTATACAACGCCTGCAGAATGCATTTATTAAATCTCCGCTTTGGGAAGTTAGTGTGGCATTTCACAGCGCAGTATTTGATATTTGCGTTATTCTTTAACACATCCTTGCCGTGTGCCAACATCTCAATTTGCTGATTAAACAGGAGGTGATTGGGCATGGTTGCCACTTTTGCTCAAACAACTTTGAAACTCATTTTTGAAAGTCTGTAAACACTTGAGGAACATCGCATCACAAGTATGTTCGCAGTTACCCTGATTGTTCTTGGAGAATGTGACTTATGTTCTTCATGAATACATGTTTCAAAGCATAAACAAATTTGGCCATTTGAAAATGATTGATAATTAAATGATAAAAAACGAAACATACCAACATTTGTTATTTCAAATAGGTGATGGGAAATTAAGGAACGTTGACATAGTTGGTACAATTTACATATATAACGCGGTACGTAAATGCATGCAAAGGCAGAGATCCACATAGCAGCCTTTCATATACTGTAGTATTGCTGGGAAGAGTGCTGTTAGCAAGCATGGATATTGTGACCAGAATCCTGCCTTTCCACATATGTCTTTCCAATCATCATCATCATCAATCTACTGCTGGATCAAGGCCGAGCTGAGTGATATCCGTCTCTGTCGGCCTTCTCAAGACCAATATTAAATAAGGCGTCTTGCAAGATTGTTGCTGCTCAAGCCAGCAAAGGGGTGATACACATATTTATTGGCAACCCTGAGCCAGTGGTGAGATTCCACATTCCCCTGGCAAGGACCAGTCCCGTCCAGTACAACCAGGGCCAACTCCCCAAATATCAGTTCTAAATGTATCTGCTCCTGATCGAGGATAGGATGGGTCTGAGCCCTGATCAGGATTTGGAGTCCCAATGTTTTGACCATGAGTCAGGATCTATAATTATTGTGCCACCTAACATGTAAAAAAAAATAATGAAATAGGGTAACGCTGCTTTCACAGGCGGTGGATTACTGCGGTTGGTGCAGCTTACAACAGAGAGTGGCTCGCGTACACACCGCAGATTCTTCCAGGAGGCACGTGGATGGTCGGGGGGGGGGGTTCCATAGAGGGTAAAGATAATTGATAGTTTCATTAGTGCTGCGCCAATTCACACGTTATTTTTAGGAAATGTGCGAGGCGAGATGATCGGGCTCTTTGTCAGTGATAAGGTGAACTTAATGGTAGAATTGCCTTTTCCCCATTTTATTTTTTTACAGCGTACGCCTCATTCGCAGTTTTTATTTTATTTTATTACAAAGAAACCTTAATGAGCAGCGTTGGCAATGGTGGACTGGAGGGAGGAAAAATACAGCCATAATGCCACGTTACATGAATACATAAGCAGACAAAGCTGTCTCTCCATGTATAAATATGACATTTTTTTTTACATCCGCCCATCCTTTAGGCCCTTTGGACCAATTGTTACCCAGAACCATTTGTTTAAGCAGGTACATTATGGAACAGTTTCAGCTTCCGAGTCTCATCCGTAGCCAGGCCAGTTCATTTAATTATGTTGCGTTGTCTGATGCTATCGGCAAAAAACATGCACGGACACTTTTTGGCCCGTTCAGTGCAAAAACCTTGTTACGTGCCATCATGGGGTAATGTGCAGTGGTCCATGTTCTCAATGCAATGCATGTATAGGAGCTGCATGCATGGCTCTCTGTGTCGGCCTATGGCTCTCTGTGTCGGCCTATGGGTCTCTATGCGAGTCTATGGGTCTCTCTGTGCGGGTCTATGTGTTTCTGTGTGGGTCTATGGCTCTCTTTGCGAGTCTATGAGTCTCTGTGCGAGTCTATGGGTCTCTATGCAGGTCTATGGGTCTCTCATCTCTAAAGCCCTTCTTATTGCGCCATCTTTGTCTCTTCTCAGCACAAAATAATATATTAATAACATGCCCAAGCCATCTTAGCCTCGACTCTCTTCGATTCTAGTGAGTATTAGTAATCCCCGGCAAGGCTTTCACTTCTGCATTCCACCTCCTTTCCCTTAGAGATATCCCCAACAGCATTCTCATCTGTCCTTTTCAAGCGTGATCGTACGCCTTTAGGGCCCAAACTCAGTCCATCAATAATATAAGGATCACGTTTGTGGGCATTCGGCAGTGGTGATTTTACGGAGAGAGAGATATTGTGGATTATTCTCTGCTGTCTCGGGGTCCCCAATGCAACTGAGCACCATCCAAATTTGGTCTATTATTTTGAGTATACAATGTCGGTCTTATGCAATACAGAACATGCGTTATTTCCGTGACGGCAGCGTTTAATATAAACGTCCGTGCACATGCACACGTTCTTATATCCACGATTGAACGTTCAGCCTTCCGTTGACATAAAGTCACACGTAGAGGATTCGCATGATTTTCAGCTTCAGAAATGTGCACAGAATGTGCTGCGTTTGCGTTATTGCAAAAACGCACTATGGGGGAGCGGCGATGCAGTGGATATGGACACTGCGCTATGATCCTGGTGACCTGTGTTCAATTCCATGCAATGCACGTCAGTAGCAAGTGGTATCTAACCGGTAATGTGTAGGCTTCCCATACATTTAATAAACGCTCTATATGAGTATGCCCCGCGTGTGTATTAACACTGGTCCACCGACGTTGCAGGGTGTCATTCACCACTGCGATAAACTATGCAATTACTCCGCTCATTCTCGACATCTCATTTTCATCGGGCTTTTCTAGCATACTTGGCTACGTACAGTGCAAAAGAAGTTCAATATACATACACACGATACCTCGGTGGCCCTCTTGGACAAGGTCAATTCCTTTGATGCCAATCCGCCACTTTTCTTGACCATTAGTCACCATCCCATCTCGCGACGTTTCCTGCACAAGCTCACTGACTTTTTTGGTTACCAGTTTGGATGATATCTCTGACCAGCATATGTTCTCTAATCCACGTGCTCCCCTTTCTGTCTCTCAATCTAATTTCAACTGTGCATCTCTCCGTGCTTCTTTGTGTGCTTTGCAGTCTCTCTTCCATTGTGTTGTGGCTGTGAATGGCCGTGTTGGTGAACCTTGACATATCAGGTAGTATGCTTGGATTCTTAACATTCTGAATCTTATTTTGTTTATGCCTTTTTAAATACAAACATTGGAATGGATGCATCAGAGATGCGCATTTTTGGGTGAAAGTGTTTCTGTGTTTTGTGTGTATCTTGTGCGCGGTTGCTAATGAACACATTATTGAATGGGCTGTTGAGAATAGGTTACTTATAAGCTGCATTGAATGGCTGAACACGTGTGCCTAATTAGAGATTTATATCAACCAAATGCGTACACATTCACATTGGATCGAGTAAAGTATGGACCAGAGGTCTTCGACATAAATGAGGAGGGAGCTTACCAATGGCGGAGCCAGGATTATCAGGTAGGGGGGGGGGGCAACCCCTCTAGCAATTAAAAATGATAGAGGAGTTGTTTGTCAGTAAGGACTTGTCCCTTGTTTTTTATTCGATGCGTGTGCGGCGATGGCGCAGCCATCGATCGAGGTCGAATTCGAACCGCGTTGTGTGATCGGCATCGCGCTCGCTGAAGCTGAATGCCTTCAGGCAAGTCGTGTACTGTATACGCAACTGCGCACAATTCTGAGTCACTTATAACTGCTTTGCCGTTACTTATTGCCAATTATGGACTCAGACTATTGTCCTATCATCTCATAAAGTCCCTGGCACTTAATAATATGCTACACAGTGGCAGTGGGGGTCGCAAAATTCCGATTTATTACTAATAAACCCCAATGATCCGATCGAAATTAGGGATTTCGATGGGATCATTGGGGGGGCACGTGCCACCCCACCCCCCACCACTGGCACCGCCAGTGGAGCTTACTATGAATGTCCAAGTCAAAGTTCGAAAAAACAGGGGCATGTAATGTGAATGTATGCCAATGCAGTTTAATATTCATTTGGGAAACTTACTTGCAATATTTTTAGTGAATGCAGTTCAATCCAAGTGTAGCATATACACATCCCAGAAAGGGCCAATGATTGAATGTGACGTGGCTTTGCCTTTATAAAAACTGTTTACCTGTGCCGCTGTTGTATGAAATTGCACTCCAGTAGTGTCACACTGGTCAGAATACTTGACCCATAATCTGAAGGTCAAGGGTCAACTCGGCTTAACATCCTTTTGGGGATCAATAAAATGCCTACCACTATGTTAGAAGCCAACAGTGGCTGTGCTGTAGAGAGATCGGTTTGTACCGAATACGTATGTATGCACGTTGAACTTCTTTCGCGCGTGCGTAGCCAACCATGCTCATCGGAGGTACGGTACATGTGGATTCCTAGTGCTGGCTCGGAGCCACCGCTGGAGATGATGAGCACCACGCCACTGTTAGTCTGAGCAGGGGCCCACTTTCGCTCTCTGACATATTTGCTCCCGTAGGGTTTTGCGGTTGTGCCACACAGCTCTTTCGACGTGTTTCTGGGTTTTACCGCGTGTTGCTTTGGCACGTTACCGTGAGCCTGCTCGGGAAGTGAAACAGCTCGTGGAGGGCAACGTCAGACCTCGTGCTGAACATCCACGCAGCACGGCCCATAAATGCACCGGAGGGCTCGATCGCTCTCGGGCTAATATTTGTGACACATGACAACGAGAGGCTTTGTGAAACAAATGCGATATCAAACACATTTTAATACAGCTATATCAGGAAAAAGCACAAAATAATTCAATTAAGTTACCCCACTCTGCATTTGTGTTTATGTATTCATGCTTGCTTTCCCATGAGCTCTATATACCATTTCGTTCTTCAAATATGTATGTTGCTTCTTCCGTCCAATTATATTCCAATTGTGTTTTTCGCCACACAGGCAAAACGTAATGGTCGTATATATGTTCCAAAAACCCCTTTAGACGGCAGAGCTTCTCATGCCTTGGTGGCGACTAACGCCTCAAGAGATATGCTGACTTCACAGAATTATATTCCATCACATTTCTTCAATGACTCCTTTCATCGCAATCCCACGGTGGCACCCTTTCATGGTGTGCAGGTGGCAAGATCACTTTTATTTTATTTTATTTTGCATACACAATTACATTTTGCTACAAATCCGGTGACCTAGTTTGATTCCTGCCCACGGATAACATCACAGGCAAGTTATATCTAAACTCTTCCTAGAACCTTCTTCGCCAACCGTTGCTGGACAGTTGTGGTGAAGTACGGCTAAACACCCCCATAATCAATGACGTGTAATATATATATAACACTTTTTAATTCTTATTATTTGACAAATAACATCAGTTTTTTTTCCACGCTCAACCAAGCAGTGGTTCGTGATTTCCTCCACTATCGTGGTCGGGAAGTAGTGACGAAAATTTTATCAAACAAACTCTCAATGTACTGCCACTAAGCATTATGTGTAAGTAACAATTACATTTTTTGGCAGGCAAATGTTGCTGGCCACTTGGCCTATTTGGGCCTGTGTTCCATAAGTGTATCTGAAAATAAAATAATGTTGTACCTCCACATCATAAAAAGAAAATCATCCATCAGCCTATGAGATGTCCAAGCTCGTTTTTGTCCAGCAATGTTCAAGTAATCAAACTCTAGAGAAAGTTTGAATGGGTCATGAATTACATTAGTTCTGAAGGGCCTCAGGCTAATGGACTAATCATTCTTATTTATGCAGAGTGGTGGACAACAGATAGGTTATAGCTGTTTCAAATCTTATGACTTTGCAATTGTAAGTCAGCTACTCTGGGTATAGTGTAACCCATATTAGCTCGTGTTTGTTCGACTGTCAAGAGTGCTGTTTATTGTCTGGCCACTTGGTGTTTTGGATTTAAGACGCGCACTCGACAACCCTCAAATATTGTCCGTTTTAACTTTGGGTAATAGCCCAACATTCAAATTGGCAAACCCAGCAGTGCTGTTCCATTTACTTTACAATGTGCATGAGCTGTGACCCAGCTATACCCACGCTCACCTTCTTGAGCTGCTTGATGGAGCAGCACTTTATAGCATCCATCAGCTGGTCGTGTGAGTTGGCCTGTGGGGTTGAGGGCCTAGAATCCTCCTGTTGCTCCTTCTTCTCCACCTTCTTCGACACAGGGCGCAGCGAGCCCTTGAGCGAGACCAGCTGTTTTGACTCGCCGTTGCGAGGGTGCCTGCTCTTGTTGCTGCCGCCCTCCTCCGTCTTACTCTTCTTGCCCTTCTTGCTCTTGTCCTGCTCCTTGATGATCTCGGCAATTTTCCGCGTGGGCTTGGCTTGCACCTTCTGCTGCTGCTGTGCAGGCGGTGGCGGAGGAGGAGGTGGAGGCGGTGGAGGAGGAGGAGCAGCAGGAGGAGCAGCAGGTGGAGCAACCCGAGGTGTGGCCGGTGCCCGCACCTCCGTCTTCTGGGCTGCACTCTTCACCTCTTTCTTGGCAACGAGGGGCGAGGGGCACGGAGAGGTTTTTGGGGACGGCAGAGGTGACGCCTTCGGCGACGCGATGTTCAGGTGCTTGTTGACGGGCTTCGGGCTGGCGGACTTGTCCTGCTGCTTCTGCTGCTGCTGCCCTTGCTTCTGCTCCTGCAGCCTCCGCTGCCGCTGCTTGTCCATGTTTCTGCTCAGAATGCCTGTGACGGTCATCCTGGGACCGCCCAACTCGAAGTGGTAGCCCAGCTTGAGGAGGGTGTCGTTCTCACGCAGCACCTTGGCGATCTCCATCTCCGCCTTGCCGCCGAGGATGTGGCGCTGGTTGTGGAAGCGGAGCTCGGTGAGCGTTCTGTTGACCTGTAGGGCCTTGATGATGGCCAGGATTCCCTTTCCGCTGACGTAGTTGGACTCGATGTTGAGGCTTATGATGCTCTCGTTCTCCGCGAGCATGGCGCCGAGCGCGATAGCCACGCGGTCGTCGGCCCGCGTGTTTGCCAGGCTGAGGGAGCGCACGGTGCCGTTTCGTCCGCAACGCCTGCGCGAACTCGATCATCGTCTCGGCCGTCACGTTGTCGACGTTGTTGAGGTTCACCTCGATCGTCTCGGGGTCGTTGTCGCGCACGCGTTCCAGAGCCTCCTCAGCCACCGTGGGGTTGCCGTTGGAGCCACTGGAGCTGGGCGCCTCGCTGGCGGGCAACGGGGCCACCTTCTTAGCTACGCCGGGCTTCGGCGTGGCTGCCACTTGCTTTCTCTCGGGCGTCGGGTCAGCGGTCTTGGCAGGGGCGCTCGCCTGCTGCACGGGCGCTTTTGCATGTGGCTTCACGAACTCTTCTTCCTCGGACGTCTGTTCGCTCGCCACCCCTTCGTCATCGTCGTCGTCATCATCATCGTCGTCATCGTCATCGCTCTCGTTTTTGTCACTGCTGTCTTCGTCCGCTGCGCATTGATCTTCCGCGTTTTCCGCCTGCTGCTGCTGGGGCTGATTGTCCTGTTTCAGTGACATCGTGGGTTTCTCTTCCTGTTTGTGGTTGTCCACGTCATCGTGACTGTCATCGTCATCTTCTGAATTCTGAAACGGGGTGATATGAGAGTTTAGACTTTAGAGACAATCATGATCTTAGACTTTAGAGACATAATCATCATCATCCTCAAGGTGAATCGATATTAAGCATTTAACCATGTATATATTCGTACATTACAATAGTTACTCTTTGGTTCTTTTGGTAAGGTCACGTAGGTATAAAATAAAATAAATCACGACGTTTTGATCGCAACACAAGCGGTCGTCCTCAGGCGGAAAAAATATAATCCAGCAGAGAAACTGCTGAACCAGCGAGAGAGCAGTTACAACAAGGCTATACATGTGGCGATGGGCAAGCAAGCGGGGTCTGAGCTGGAAAGGAATTCCATCCACAGACGCAAGCACGTCAGTTGTGTTAATGGGGGGGATTAGGTAGAGAGGGGTTAGGGAAGGAGATTAGCATGAATGAGCATCCGTCGCCGCATAAGAGTATCATGCCCGCATATGCGCACAACAGCAGTGTTAATGAGAGATTAGCACCATAAGAGTGCAATCCAAAGGCCATGTGAGCATGAGAGTGCGTTCATCCTGAGGGCTTGGTGTACATGCTCCAACTCACTGGCTAGGTGGTGCTGGTCGGAGATGCAACGTGCCCTATGGTGTAGTGTTTTGATGAGGAAATTCTTCTGGGCTGGATGGTGGTGGTAGTCAGGCTTTAGATAGGCATCCGTGTGGGTGGCTTTCCTGTAGACCGAATGTCCCAACGAGCCATCAGGTCTCTTCTATCAAATTCACCATGGAAGTGGAAAAGGATGGCAAGCTACCATTCCTGGATGTTTTAATCGAGAAGAGACCTGATGGCTCGTTGGGACATTCGGTCTACAGGAAAGCCACCCACACGGATGCCTATCTAAAGCCTGACTACCACCACCATCCACCCCAGAAGAATTCCCTCATCAAAACACTACACCATAGGGCTCGTTGCATCTCCGACAAGCACCACCTAGCCAGTGAGTTGGAGCACGTACACCAAACCCTCAGGATGAACGTACTCTCATGCTCACATGGCCTTTGGATTGCACTCTCATGTTCATGTCCTTTGGATTGCACTCTCATGGTGCTAATCTCTCATTAACACTGCTGTTGTGCGCATACGCGGGCATTATACTCTTATGCTGCGACGGACGCTCATTCATGCAAATCTGCCTCCCTAATCCCTCTCTCCCTAATCTCCCCCATTAACACAACTGACATGCTTGCGTCCATGGATGGAATTCCTTTCCAGCTCAGACCCCGCTTGCTTGCCCATCGCCACATGTATAGCCTTGTTGTAACTGCTCTCACGCTGGTTCAGCAGTTCCTCTGCTGGATTATATTTTTTCCGCCTGAGGACGACCGCTTGTGTTGCAATCAAAACGTCGTGATTTAATTTATTTTATACCTACGTGACTTTACCGAAAGAACCAAAGAGTATGTATTCCTGCAGTCACGAAAGCTTCAAATCAAGATTACAATAGTTCCTTTTGTAAATCATATATGCGTGGAATGCATGTGAGAATCGATTATTAACAACGTATTAAAATTGATTGCAAATGATATGTCATGCTTACATTTGGGGTAATTGAGTGAACGAAACTGGGTAAAAAAGATGGACGAGATTATTAAAAACTAAACAAAAAATTATTTATCCCTGAATCAAGTCGCGACCTCAAATTAAAACAATTCACCGGAGCTACCAGGTTGGGCCCAATGAGCTATATAGCTATTTTTCATAAGTAACCAGGCCACAAATTATAGCCCAACGAAGTGGCTTCTTATGTGGAAATGCATAGCAGCCAAATGTTCTAAATGCGTAGATGTTGATTTGAAATGTGGAGGGAAAAAGCTGAGGACCCGGAGAAAAATCCACGCGACCACATGGAGAACATGCAAACTCCAAATATACAGGCATCAGTGTCGGGATCAAACCCACGACGTCCTGCATACCAGGTGATGTATTTAACATCTCACCACCGTGACGTTTCATGTGAAAACGTTAGCTGTATTTACAGTAAAATTTTATTTCAGAAATATAAGTTATTTAAAGTTGCAGTAACGACCATTGGATGGTTGTATGTTAATGGTTTTGTGTGTAACGTGTTTGTTTAACTTATGGCATCTCGTTAATCTGCATATGCTAAATTTTTGACACATTTGCTTTACATTTTCTGTTGTTCTTTAGAGAAAAATGCTCAGTTCGAATAATTAGTTTTTTTATTAAATGACACAAGATAATTGTTTAATCGGTGTTTAATGAATTTCTTCTTTGTTTTAATGAAGGCATACATTTTATTCATTCCATTCCCAATTGTGATATTTAATGCAGTTTTTCATTTCAGATCCAATGCAGTTGTCTCTCCCTGTGATGCTTATTACTTAGAAACATAATCAAAAGGTTGAGAGTTCAAATCTTGGTTGGTGGTTTACTCAGTCCATGATTCATGTGTGGTTGAATCCAGTGTTGTGGGAGAATCATTGCTGTGGAGAATTTTGCATATGTGAAAGAAGAGTAGACTTTACCAATTAACTGGTGTTTTGTGAACATTGCAAATTTTAGGTAATTGCATTTCTGTAAAATGGAAGTTTTTCAGATTTTTTTGGGGTGATACGGGCACACAATAATCCATTATTACCAATACACTTAAATGGATAACATCTAAGTCTTATTAAACAGTGCATGGAGGCAGACATTATAGGGGACCGATAAAGATAAAATATTAATTGCAAACATATATTTGATTCTTATATACATGATACACACATTGAGTAATGCATTTCATGGACTAATTACAATGTATGGTATTGTGACCTCCACATTGATATTCCAGGCTATTTGTAATACCGAGTTGTGACCAAATGATGATATCACGAGACATCCAATTCTGGCTCGGCCAAGCAAGGCGAAGGCCAGGGCTGATGAATGTGGTCATCGCATGTGGCATGAGCCAGTACAATGTGAGGACGGTGTGATCACTTCACCGGCCGAGTGTGTTCTTTACGCACGATGCGCAGTGGAAAAACAAAATGGGGCATCCAGAGGCAGGTTGCCTCAGCACGGCCCAGCGTGGCTCGGTTGTGAAGTGGAACAGAGATAATAATTGTGCCACGGGGAGGTGGGAGAGTTGCATGGCAGGATGATTCTTTACGTATCTAATTAATCCCACTTAATCATTGACCAACCCGTTTCCCACAAAGCAACAGTGGCTGACCTATGGAGGGACTAGTCTTGTTAGCACAGGAATGTAGAATTTACAAACGCTGACTCAGACACTACCAACAGAGACGAGCATAACCTTGCACTTACTGAAGCGTAGGGACACTTAAAAAAAACCCAAGGGTAATATATTTGCTAAATGTTTATATGAAATAAATTTCTGTAGCCTTTGCAAGCTTATGTGTATTTTGTCGGACGTAATCTTGTGGCCAGAGTTGTTGATGACATTTATGAAAAAAAGGTTTGAGAGTAATTGCCCTGGGCTCCAGTCAGCCTGGCACAGCGAGTCCAGTCGAACCTATGTTTTGGTCAGGATACCGCAATGTGCTGTGGCTCGAGAGTTGGCTATTTCCGGCATAAACAACAAATCCAGACCAGCCAAAACCCAAAAGCAGACCGGCCTAAACCGGCCTCGCTTTACGCAAGGGAAACTTTTTACGGCCGACATTCCAGGTTCTGTTGGACATCTCGCTCTGGCTCACGTTAAAAACGGACACCGCAACTTGCCTTTTGAAGGAAAATATTTATCAACAAATTCCTCAGTAATTTTCCAACGACCACGCTTCGTGAGGTTAACACCAAAGTGGGCATCTATTTCATAAAATAATTTAAACCAAGTATTCAGTCTCAGTCAAACGTTTTATTGAGGGGGAAAAGAGTTAAAACTTAAGATTGTTTTTATGTAATGCTACAATGTCACTCATTCAGTGATTTAAAATTAAACAAACCCTCTGAAATGTTTTTGAAAAAAAAAAATGTTGCCTAAAATGGCCACAACACCTTCCAGCGCGTCGCAGAAATGCTTTTTTGAACACTTGATGGGTTTTCGAAAAGGGCTTGTGAAACGAGCGACGTTCAGGAGGATGTGTAGCTTGTAGAGGTTTTAATGGCCAGGGTATATCACGGAGCCAGCACTGCTGTGATCACGACTTATGTTAGGAACACGGTTAAGGCCCAGTGTTATTATTAACATAAGAGACAGCATTTGGGATACTGTTATAAGTGTTAGAGTTATGTATGTATGCATGTCATACGTAGCCAACCGTGCTAATCACAGATGTACGAGTAGTTACGGCAGAATAACAATGACGAGGCCAGTGCTGGATTATCCTAGTAGCATATGCTAGGGGGCCCACACTTTCAAGGGCCCCGTGCTAAATGCTTTCAAGCTACCAATTACGGTTCAGTGATTCTGCACTTGCTATATTACTATAGTACTAAGGTTGGCGATGCATCGTATTATCTGGCTGTATAGCAAATGAAATACAATTAATTTACTATGCAAGTAAAAAAATTGTATTTTAATATAAATGTTTATTTATTTATTTAGGGTCCTTTCATAACATATGCTACAGGCCCTGCACTAGCTTAATCCGGCACGGGAGGAGGCGATATATAAATTATTTATGAATGATATATAATGTATATACAATCGCTGCCTAATTTACAGTTTAACTTTAAAGTATGAAAGCAGAGCAGAAGCAACAGGGCCTGCAGGACACTGCCAAGGAGTAAGGTTCATGGCCTCACACTGATTTATTTCATTAGGCAGGTGACGATGCCGCCAATTCATCACTAAAACAATATCCTTGTGCTCATGAGGCATGCATTGCATTGTGTGTCTAAAGAATTTGTCACTTAAGAAGTATTCAAATTACATTGCAATGTTGCACTTGTGCATGTGTGTACGTTGGACTTCTTTCGCACCGTACGTAGCCAACCGTGCTAATCGGAGGCGCACATTTAGGGTAATATGGCTAACAGAGCGCGGAAAAACAAAACATGAAACACGCGA